ACTTTATTTTGGGGGGCTCCAAAATCACTGCAGATGGTGAGTGCAGCCATGAAATTCAAAGATGCTTACTCCTTGGAAGGAAAGTTATGACCAACCTTGATAGCGTATTAAAAAGCAGAGACATTACTTTGCCAACAAAGGTCCGTCTAGTCAAGGCTATGGTTTTTCCAGTGGTCATGTATGGATGTGAGAGTTGGACTATAAAGAAAGCTGAGTACCGAAGAATTGATGCTTTTGAACTGTGGGGTTGGAGAAGAACTTTGAGAGTCCCTTGGACTGCAAGGAGATCCAACCAGTCCATCTTAAAGGAGATCAGTCCTGAACATTCACTGGAAGGACTGATGCTGATGCTGAAACTCCAGTACTTTGACCACCTGATGTGAAGAGCTGACTCATTTGAAAAGACCCTGATGCTGGGAAGTATTGAAGGCAGAAGAAAAGGGGACGACAGAGGATGAGAGGGTTGGAAGGCATCACTGATGCAATGGACATGAGTTTGAGTAAACTCCAGGAGTTGGTGATGGACAGGGAAGCCTGGTGTGTTGCAGTCCATGGGGTCTTAAGAGTGGGACACAAGTGAGAGACTGAACTGAACTGAATTCCCACACAAGAGAAATAGAACTAAGTGCATTGTGATCTTTTCAAATGTGCTCCATCTAAATGCCCTAATAGTTAACACCCAGCTTCATGTCTTTTTAAAAATTTTTCTTCTTTTTTATAAACCCTTGTGTCAAGGGCTGACTTTCTATAGATTGCAACAAGGGAGCTGCTTGTTATGTACGGAAGTACCACGGTTTTATTTCTAATTCAAGTCTCAGCTACTCATTTGTGAAGAACAACCGATAGCCAAGACTTGATTATCAGTATTACTGGTTTTTCTTCAAAAGAACTGGCTAAATAATGAGACATCAGAAAATAAGTAAATTGAAAGTCCCTGTTATATCTAACTAGATGGCTCGTCTTGGGTAAGTCAAAGCACTACTCTAGACCCCAGATTTTCTAAGATTAGGGCATTCGATCTCTTATTTCTTTTAAGAAGCTCTCATTGTTTTTCACTTCTTTACTGAAAGTAATTCATGCTGATTGTAGCATTTAGAAAACAGGGTTAAGCAGAAAGATAATAAAAATACCCACAACCCCACCACAAAGAGATATCTGTTAATATCATGGCACATGTCCTTTCTGTTGTCTTTCAGTTTAGTGACTCCATTTAGTTTTCTATCCATCCTTTAAATAATAGAAGTGGGAGCATACTAAACAGCTTTGTGATTTCAAATTTTTACTTAATGTAACATGAACATTTTTCCTTGTTATGAAAATTTTCTACAGTATCATATTAGCTGAATAGTTATGTGGATGTACCATAAATCATTTAACTAAACCTGCCTTTCATTAGTTTTCTTTTCCAGTTTTTTGTTTCTATAAACTTCATTGCAGTGGACATCTTTGTGGGGAAACTTTTATACACATCTATGATCTATTTCCATATTTCAACTTAAAAACTTTTCTGCACATTCAGCAGTTATTCCATGTTTGACCAACAGAGGGCATTTAGAGCTTTCTATCTCAGGGAAAGGCCATAAAGCCATTTCTACCGGACATAAAAAAATAGTGGTTTTATTGCGAAAAATTACTTAATTTTGGATGTCCAGTAATAATCAGCAAACTCCAAAGGGAGAATCAAAGTCATTTATATCTAATCAGAACTCCTCCCTGCAAAAACCCCTCAAATAGTGTGCTTTATTAGGACTTAAACCCAAAATAAATACAAATTATCTCTTTTGCCCAATTCAGAAGAGCAAAAGGAGACCTCAACTTTATGCAAAGACCTAAGTTCCCCACAGAAGACTGTAGGATAGTGACAAACAAGCAGGGAAGCGACCTCAATGCCAAAAATACAGATCTTGCCAGAGAAAAGCCCAGACAGCCCCAGGATCTGGAGGTCCCTAGGAAGACAAATTTGGGGGCAACACTGAATAGAGTCCTGCCTAGACTATTACTTATCCATCATCTACCAGCCATGCTGCGGTAGGTAATACTATAGGTTTTGTTAGATAGAGCCTGAAATAATTGTTTTATGTACATTCTTCTTGATTTTCACCAAGACCATAAATTTACAAGGCAGCACTTCTTGGCACAACAATTATACCCAGCAAATGACTAAGTACAACAGGTGTATTTAAATAGTTGTTACTCAATGCTAATGACAAGTTTCTGTTCTAGTAAAAAGATGATTATTGAGAGGTAGAATGGTGGGTAAGGGTGTAGGCTCTAGAGCCAGGTTGCCTGTACTTGCATCCTGATTCCATCACTTACTAGCTGGTCTGGAAAGCTAGTACTGCCTCCTGACCCAGTGTCTGTAAAAATGCAGGGAGAAATAATACCTACCTCTGATGTGATTTTGCGAATTAAATGAGTTTAGACATGTGCACTCAGGCACAGGGCTTGGACCATGAGAAGTTCTTGATAAATGTTTCTAGAGTGATTATGAGCCTTAGTGATTACTAAGATTTTTTTCCTCTCATTTTGAAATCCTATGACTCTTCATGGATGCTGCTCTCTCCAAGCTCTTCCTCAGACACTGAGGACCCCGGCCTCTCCCTGGCCCCACAGGTTCACCTGACGGCTGCAGCCATGGCTTTGCTGGCCCCAGGCAGCTCTCTGATCTTCACAGGCGACACATCTTCCCCTGGTCCCTCACCCGGTTACCTCTTTTTAAATTTTACTCCAGGTGTCTTTCATTTGTTCAACAGGCGTTCCATTTGATTCCATCAAATCAAACATTTCACAAATAATAGTCATCTTCTTAGAGGTGCTCTGAGATGTCCCACAGAACAGAAACGCTTTGCTTCACAGAGCTCAAAAGCAATGTGCTCAGACGGGAAAATCGGGCTTTGCGAAGGAAGGAATGTCAACAGGGACGCAGCTACCATAGCCTCTGCTTCTCTGGGCCACTGTGCAGTGGGTCTTCCTTCCTGAGCCAGCTGTTTTGTGCAATGGTCCCTTTTCCTTTCCCAATACAATCTCAATCATGAAGGTGGAGTCTCCAGAGCTGGGCAGGCATAGGGACTACAAGTCTTTATGTTCACCTAGGGGTGAGTATTGGAGTCAGGCTGGGCTATAGTTTAAAAATGTCCTTGCCTCCCATTCTGATAGGCTCTGGAAATGTGTGTGACCTCCTCCCTACAACGCTGGTAACATAAGACTAAAGAAATAAGGAAAAAACAGAAACGCAAATTACGTTATGTTGAAGCTGATTTTATTGCTTTCTGGAGGCTGGAGCAGTAACTAGAGCAGTAACAAGTAATGGGACTTAAGACAGCTGAGCCCATAACGGAGCTGGGATTTCCCAGGGAGACGGGAGAGGGACTGGGTTTCTGGGCATCTAGAAGCAGAAAATAGTGTAAGGACCCAGGGAGGAAGTGTACTGTTCACAAGGGGTGCTGAGGCCACACTGTGGAGGTGGAATAGTTCAGATGTCATGTGTGAGGCATTAGAGAATCAAAGGTTTTTGAACAAAAGAGTGACTTAAGACACAGCGCTGAACAAAGGACTGATCTGGCAGCAGGATTCATTTTCAGTTGAAGGGGACAGGGCTAGGGGAGTGGAGCGGAAAGGATTGTAGGGTAAGGCTTGAAACTAGGTCCATGGCACTAGCTGAGGGGCCTCGTGGAAATGACTTGACCAGGCTGACCTCTGTTTCTTCATCTGAAACTGATATGTTAGAGGCTTCTGGGAAGATTAATCATTTACCAAATATTTTACTAGGTTCTTACAATGTGCCAGACATTTTGCTAGGTGTCAGGGGTACAAAAATGGACACAAAAAGACACATCTCTGCCTTCTAGGATCTTACCATCTAATGTAAGAGACGGACAATTTAAGAAGTCAAGAAACATTAAAAACTTCAAAGTGTGATAAGATGATATTGTGAATGAGGTTGGCAGAAAGGGCATCAGGGGAAGTCTCTCTGAAATTAGAGTTTATGGAGACCAGACAATTGAGAAGGAAACAAAAGAACAGGATTCTGAGGCAAAAGGATGGTAGTGGGTCTCTCTGAAATAAATTACAGCAAAAACTCCACTGAGAATATCTGAAATACAGCAACTGAAGAAACTTTGGTTTATTATATCATCATCTGGTATGTCTTATTGCTTCTCTAAAATCACGGCAATGAAAACATGTAAACTAGCCGAGTGCTTCACATTTAGAGCTTTTATTTTGAAAAATAAAATACAAAAGTCATCAAGTTGTAAATGTATGTGGTAATTCCTCAACTTCTCAGAAACAATACAATGAATTATTTAAATAATTAAGATATTTAACATTATCCACATCAAACATTTCAACAGGTACAAGTGTTCTACAAAACATTAGAACATGTACAGACAACCTAGTCCAAGATGAAACTGCCCAATTTTGCTAACAGGATCCCATTTTTAAACCCTCCCCTTGAAAACAAAGTTTGGAATCTGGTAAGAAAAGATGAGGGCCAGAGCAGTTTTAACAGAAAGCACACACCCCCACTGGGTTCCGTCTCCGCAGGGCTGTGCACGGAGTTAGGATCGAGAGCGCTGTACATGGGAAGCAGGTCACTCAGGAGGGTCCCAGCGTGTGCTGACATCCCACCCTCTCAGAGGAAGGAGACTGGCAAATAAGCAGGAGATGGAGGCCTGGTACATACGCTCCACTGATCTCAGCAGGGGACAGCCAGTCCTAGAAATTTCTCTGTGGCCAAAAAGGCAGCAGTCTTCCCTAGGGCAGACAAACAGGATGCATTAGAGGTGTGTAGTCACTTTGTTCTTCCCTGCACGACACCACTTCCTTTCCAGCTGTGAGCCCAGCAGAGCAGGGGGACGGACCGTTAGGAGAACAGCTGCTTCAGAAGGACTACTGTGGAGGCACACTCTCTCTCAGTTTGGGATGCTTTTAGATGCCTGCCAGGAGCTTTGATACGCAAAACAAAAGGATGGAAGCCAAACCAAGCGCTGCTCCTGCCCACTTCCAAATGACTGCAACTGTCGTCTGCAATTGAAGCAACTCTGGGGGCATTTGACACGAATGTCAAATGTCCAGGGGTCGAATGCTGACTGTTTAATATCGAAAGGTGGATACTGAGGTTATTTAAAGGAAGCTTTAGGAAATACAGTGACTGCTGTTCATACACTAAAGGGATCCCAAATACAAGACAAAAGACTATGATTTGTCTTGAGATGCCCTGGTGTCTTCCCAGCGTCTGAGTCCTTCTCTCACCGCATGGGGGCCACTGCAGGCCTCGCAAGCAAATGAGGATGCACTGCTGCTGCGGTGGCAGCTCAAAGCTGGAGTCGTCTGCCCTGTAAAACAGCTGGTGGATAATGCATCCCTGTATGGACGTTTCCAGGAAGGAATTCATCTATACTTCTTTTTTTTGTTTTTTGGCTGCACTGGGTCTTAGTTGTTGCATGTGGTATCTTTAGTTGTAGCATTTGAACTTTCGAACTCAGTGGCAGCATGTGGGATCTAGTTCCCTGACCAGGGATCGAACCTGGGCCCCCTATGTTGGGAGCATGGAGTCTTAGCCACTGGACCACCAGAGAAGTGTCTCATCTATACTTTTGAAAATATTTTAAATAAACAAAATTATACAAGGCCTGATAACTGCTGTTATACCTGCATGCCCACTGAGTTTAAGTCTACATTTAGGATTCGCTCCTTAGCAAAAGACAATCATAAATCCTAAAACCTCTGAATAGTATTAATTCACTATCGTCGATAATTTTGACATGGTATAGCAGCAGTATTCACTTTTTTCCATCAGTATGCTTTTTTCTATCTGTAATCTATTAATACACAGCACATCATAAAACTCTTATTCAGACTGAATTTTCAATCTCAGTTTTCTCATCAGTAGAACAGAAAAAATACCACCTACTTGCCAGACTGGTTTGCAACTTGAATGAAATTATTCATATATGTGTATGTGTATATATATATCTATAATATATATATGAATAATTCATAGATCTTAAATATATCATTTATCATATATTATTTATATACTATATATATGTGATGCTTGGTACTTCATGCCTAGTATGGAGTACACAGTCAATACATGGCTATTATATAAAGTAAAAAATAGAACAGCAAACACAACTATGGCAAAAATCAGATTTTAATGAAAGCTTTTCAAGTTCCAAATGATTGTAATGGTCCCCAACCTTTTTGGCACCAGGGACCTCGACAAGCAAACAAGGGACCGGTTTCATGGGAGAAAATTTATCAATGGACCAGGGGTGGGGGGATGGTTTCTAGATGATTCAAGGGCATTACATTTATTGTGTACTTCATTTCTATTATTATTGCATCAGCTCCATCTCAGATCATCAGGCATTAGATCCCAGAGGTTGGGGACCCCTGGTCTACAGCATAACCATGTTATTCAGACCAATATGGAATCTTAAAATCTGGGAGAGTGGTGTGAGGTCTGAACAGCCATGTCAGGAGGTCTAGGTTCAGAACCAGCTTTGCCACTGGCATCCGTGACATATACCTGATGATCACTCAGATAGAAAGGGGGCCGAGAAGGCCTGCCCCACACTGTAGCCCTTAACTACAAGACAACGTGCCTTACAAACATACAACACCATAATGCATTAACATCAGCAAGGGCAGACGAAAAACCAACCAAGCAACTCCCCAAAATATTAGCGCAAAAATGTTGGCACACATCACACACAGAGGAAGCAGCATGGGTGGTGAAAGAATCCCTGACTGGATGTCAGAAGACAGTGCTCATTACCATTGGGTTCTTCCGACCTGTGATGTGACCTTGACGGATAATCTGCTCTCTCTAGGATCAGTTTCCTTATCAGCAAACAGGTGGTTGAGGGTGTTTCTTTCAGCTAAAATATTTTACCATTTAACACCCCTCCTCATACTGAAAATAACAACTAACACTGAGTGCTTACTGTGTGTCAGGCTTCTGGAAGACATTGTTACGGTTCATTCTACCAATCTCTTATTTACATTGTCCTCACTTTACAGATGAAGAAACTAAGACACAGAGAAGTTAAGTAATCTGCTCACTGCCATACAGTCAAGATTCCAATCCAGGTGAACTGACTCCAGAGCTGTGCTCCCCACCCCACTGCACTGCCTCCTATGAGAGTGAAACTAAAAAGTCCAGGCCAGCAGTGTCCCCAACCTCACCTCATGTATGTAAGAGGTTCCTGGCTCTGCTACTCCACTTGCTCAGACTGTGGAAGGAAGCAAAAGATGTTTTTTAGTAGGTCAGCATGAGAAGTGACTGTACTTGCTGAAATATCAGATGTAGCTTGCAGACTCTGATTAGACTTCCTAATGAATTCTGTCTGCTACTGCTGACAGTAAAGAAGACTGGCTTTTGTCTCTGTTCCTAGTAGAGAGACTAAATCCTGGGAAGTTTCCAGGTAACATGAATATCTGTTATTTGTGAGCCCCTTAGATTATACCTGAGGGTCTGCTAAGAGGTAAGATGACTCAGCATGAGGGCTGATCACAAGGAAGACCAACCTCTGATTTGAGGGCTGGGGCCCTGACCCAGCCCAGCTTCTGGGTAGGGGACTTTGGGATTGAGTTCAATTCTATGACAGTGAGTCAATCAATCATGCCTACGTAATTAGACTTCAATAAAAACTCTGGATGCTGAAGATCAGTGGAACATCCTGGTTGGTGAACACATGGATGTGCTGTGAGGGAGAAGTACCTAGATACCTTGGAGATGGGCACAGAAGCTCTGAGTCTGAGACTCTTCCAGACCTTGTCTTATGTGTTTCTTCATTTGGTTTGTCTTGACTTGTTTCCTTTATAGTAAAACTGTAATCTTGTTTTGTTGTTGTTGTTTTTCCCCACTGCAAGGCTTGTGTAATCTTAGTTCCCAGACCAGGGATTGAACCCATATCCCTGGCAACGGAATCGTTAAGTCCTAACCACTGAACTGCCAGGGAATTCCCAAAACTGTAATCGTAAGTACAGTGCTTTCTTGAGTTCTGTGATAATTCTAACTAAAGATCAAACGTGAGGGTTCTGTGGGCTTCAGTTTTCTATTAGGAGTTAAATCAAAGCCTTTTATAGGCTCTTTTCTAAGTATGTATGTGATGCATTAAATGAAACTAACCTGAACAGGGGCCTTGAAGTGCCTATATTAAGCCGTTTGCTCTATTTTTTGTTATCTTTTCCTTATTTATTACAGAAATTCTCTATACTGATGAATCTTTTGTTTCAAAATTTTCTCCTTCTTAAGGTGTATTTTTTTATATGATGCTTTCTAATAAGCAAACATTCTCAATTTTAATGTAGTCCAACTTATCCATTTTAAAATGAATGATTAGTATTCTTTATAATGTTTAAGAAATCTTTCCCTCTTAAGGTCATAAAGATATTCTCTACTGCCTCCTAAACACGTTATTATTTTGCCTTTCACACTGAGTTCTATAATCAACCTGGAAAGGATTTTTATGTATGCTGTCAATCAGGGGTGTCCCTTTAATTTCAGTCTCAAAGTCCCTTTCTTGACTCCTTCAGATTTATTATGCAAAACAGCTTTTGGATTGGACATTTCTTTAAGACTGCCTCTTAGATTATTCTCTGGCTCCAGCTGCCACCGCCTGTAAGTGACCACTTGTTCATGAATTCATCCAGGTTTCGGGTACATCTTGCCCAGCCAAGGCTCAGGGCCCCTGTGCCCCTTTGTTTGCAAAAGTTGACCAAAGTCTTCGGACAGACCAGGAGTCCCCTTAAGAAGATCTCTTTTCCCTCTGACTCTTGAGGACACATTCCAATTTCTCACACATAAAAGTAACTCAGTAGACAGTTGTTGAATAAATGAAACGAATGGATGGACGGATTAAAATTAAATATGTTAATAAGCATATACCATGAAAGTAGTTTAAAATACTCAAGTAATATGTATCAGTTATTAATGGTTGTTTTAAGACAAGGATCTGAGAAGACAGAGTTTCCAACCATGGTTGAGATACAGCTACTCTTAGAGAAAAGCCTGTTTACTCTAGTCTTGCTTCAGGCAACATGACTTCATACAGTCTGTGAGGTTCCCCTCAACAACCCAGATCTGGAACACTTTTAGCGACTGAATTCAGTGCTGGGTCCTCATTTCCTCTTAACAAGCTAACTGCTGTTAGCAGCAACCTGGAAGCGACACGTATTATCACCATGCTGGACAGGGACGTCTTCTCTCGGCTCAGGTAATAAAGTCACTGACTTCTTCCTACGACTACACAGAAATGGTAGGAGATGTGCTCTTGTGGGACACTCTGGGCTACTCTACATCTGTTGGCCATAACATCACCTATTCCTCTTCAGCTCAATAAACAATATTGGAATCCAAGTAAGTGATAGTGTAACATGACAAGGAGACCTATGGATCTGCTTTAATTAATTTTTTTAAAAAGTAAAAGTTATAAGCTTCAAACTCACATCACCCATTCCCAGCTTGGTGAACTTGGTAGTTGAAGGCCAATGACTATGTGTAAAATGTATTCATAAGTCTTTTAGGCTCCAAATGAGAAAAACTAAAAGGCAATGGATGTACATGTAATATGAACAAAGGGTGGCTGTACATTATTATTTCAAGTAAGGTATCAGAAGCATGGAGCAGATTCACCAAGGCAGGCTCCTTATTTGTGGAATACTATGCAGTTTTGAGTGACCTCAAGCAATCAGATTTTAGTTATCAATAAAATATTTCCCTAACTTTGGAAGACACTGAGCCCTCTGAAATTGAGACTATGTTAACTGATTATTAAAATCAACAATTACCAGAAGCCAGTCTTTCTACCCCCAGCACATATCATTATCTCATTGAGAGGATGACTTCAATGCAAGACCCCATTTATTATTACACCAAGAGGAGGAAGCAGATACAGTACCTGAGGTTTTTCTTTAAGAAATTCAGGTAGCTGAAATTCTCCTTTGTAGACCTACAAAAAAAAAAAAAAAGCCAAGTATAAGTTTAAGGAACTAGGCACTGTCATCATCGCTTTGGGAAGCTTGCATTGCCTGATGCTGGGTGGGTTCACTGCTTCATTCTTGGTGAGTTTTGGAATAGGAAGGAAGTCTGTCAGTTCAAGAGCACCCAGAGTTGAGGACTGAGTGAAATTCCTATTCACTCTGACCCCACCTGCTCTACTCTTGCCTAGGTGCTCCCAAATGTGGGCTGTCTGGGAGAAGGCTTAGAGTCTCTGAAGAAGAAAGAAAAGCATCTTAATATTCCAAGTTCCAATTATTTTATTAATAGAGGAGAAAGTAAGCCCTTGGCCATCTCTCTCCAGCATCTAACAAAGAATTCACACAATTTAGGAATAGGCTCCTCCTGATTTCCTTCTGAAATCTTCAGCTTTACTTTTCTTAATGTACCCAATATTCCCATAGTAATTTGAATGTTAGGTGGTTCTTAAAATGATGTATGCTTTTAACCTCATGAAATCTTATAATTAAAAACTTGCACTTTTCAATATGTAAAGTTATGTTTCTAAAAGCAGCAATAATTAGGGAATAGTTTTTAAAAAGATGTGTAGGATCTTTACACAGAAAACCATAAAATATTATTGAGAGAAATCAAAGACCAGATAGACACATCACTTTCAGGGATTGTAACATTCAATATAATGAAGCTGTCCATTCTCCTCACAGGATTTCCAATAAAAACTCTAGCATGCTTTTTGGGGGAAGAGGGAGGGGTAATTTCAAGCTGATTATAAAGGTTTTGTGGAAATGCATAGGGCCAAAAATTATCAAGGTAATCTTAAAAAGAACAAGGTGAAAGGACTTATTCTAAAATATATTAAGACATTATTTTTCAGCTATAATTAAGTTACATTAAACATACAAAAGAAGCAGGGAAAGTAGAAAAAGTAGAAGCAGAAAAATTTTTTCTTTTCTTGGGCTCCAAAATCACTGCAGATGGTGACTGCAGCCATGAAATTAGAAGATATCTGCTTCTTGGAAGGAAAGCTATGACAAACCAGACAGCATATTAAAAAGCAAAGACATAGTCAAAACTATGGTTTTTCTAGTAGTCATGCAGGGATGTGAGAGTTGTACCATAAAAAGGCTGAGTGCTAAAGAATTGATGTTTTTGAACTGTGGTACTGGAGAAGACTCTTGAGAGTCCCTTGGACTGCAAGGAGATCAAACCAGTCAATCCTAAAGGAAATCAACTCTGAATATTCAGTGGAAGGACTACTGCTGAAACTGAAGCTCCAATACACTGGCCACCTGATGCAAAGAGGTGACTCATTGGAAAAGACCCTGATGCTGGGAGAGACTGAAGGAGAAGAGGGAGGCAGAGATGAGATGGTTAGATAGCATCACCAACTCAACAGACAAACTTGAGCAAACTCCAGGAGATAGTGAAGGACAGGGAAGCCTGGTGTGCTACAGTCCATGGGGTTGCAAAGAGTTAGACACAACTTAGCAACTGAACAACAACAAAACATACAAAAAACACATATATACATAAGACACAGCTATAATCAAGACGGTAAGGTTTTGGCACAAAGACAGACAAATATATTAATGAAACAGAATGAAGAGTCCAGAAACAAACCCTCATTTACAGATAACTGATTTATGACAAAGGTGGCCCTGCAGAGCAGTGCAGTTAAAATGAGTAAATAAATGTGTTTATGTATATAATGATATACCATAGTGTTTACTGTGAGGAGGAGTGAGGTGGCAGGGTTTGGGAAGAAGGATGAGAGAAGCTAGTAGGGTGCTGGTGATTTTCTATCTTGATATGGGTAGTGGTTATAAACATGTGTGCATTTTGTGAATATTTACTGACCTGTGGTTTGTATACTTTTCCATATGTATACAATACTTCAATAAAAAAAAAAAAACTGAACAAATTAAACCAGTAGCTTAAGAATTTACTAGGCTTGCTCTTTCACACACACACTATTTAAGTACAAAGATGTCTCTTTCAATAAACACTGTCAACAGCAGCAAAAAACTGGGAACTACTCATGTTAATCAAGTGAAGAAGGTTTCCATCAGCAACAGCTTTGATAACTGTTGAGAAACTACAGAAAGAAGCTATGGATTATTACTGAGAAGAGTCAGTGAGTAGCCCCTCGGAGCATAGAACAATCTTCTTAATAGTGAATACTAAAGCCTACTAACTTAAAGGATTTCACTGGGGTAAAAGCAGCAGTATTCCTTCCAAGACTCAGAGAATGTACTTTTTTCCTGTCTCTTTCTCTGCAATTTCTAAAACCTAGTCTATTCTTTAGGGTCTCTGCTATAGTCCTAGGAAGCCTAAATTAAAGCACAGAGAAGAGACTTGATATTTCTTTAGCAATGCATCACACTGGAAACAGGTAGGGGTGCAAGATAACAACAATGCAGCTGCTAGGAGGGTCTCAAAAGCTGCCCCCATCTCCTTCATATCTTCAAACAGTCCCAGGTCACTGGAGAGCTGGTCCAACTGCTCTCCAAAGAATCTGCATGTAAGAATTCTCTTTGCTTTACCCCAGCTTCAGAATCCAGAGATTGTTCCAGTTTTCTTCATTTCCCCCTAGTTTTACTGAGATATAACTGACATACAACACTGTATTACTGCTCCAGCTTTCTGACATAGGAAGTGTTTATATCATGCTAACACTGACTTCCACGGTGCTTCTGTCTCCTATCTGTGGGGCAGGCAGACACTATCATCAAAACAGGGGATCAAGCCATCAGAATAGGCTTTTTGTTTTTGCTTTTTACCAGAGTCTCAAGTCTTTCCTTCTCCTTCTATTCAGGGAACTGAGTCCGAAGCCCCCCTCTCCAAGCCCTGGGCATAAGCTGCGCAGGCCTAGGGTCCTGCACCCTGGGTCCTTTATGAACCAGAACCAGTATGCTTGCCCCAGTACCCCTTCCACTGTTAGCGGGTTTGGTCCCTAACCAACTTTTCTTATATTCCTCACCTCCTCTCAGGAGCCGAGTCTCCTCTCTCTCAGCTTCTTTTGCTAGAATTCAAGTAGAAGGTGCAACACAAGCCCACAGCATCAAATGGCTAGTCAGTGGCAGAATGAGGCTCAGAAGGCCCCAGTTCAGCACCCTCCCTTTAGACTATGATCTCCGCATCTTATTACTATTAGAAAGTTTTTATCGTTAAATTCTTCCTTCTCTTTTTGGTTTGTTGTAAAAACCAGCAAGACATAACAGAAAATATGAGTGGGAACATTAAATATTATAAGTGTCTTCCAGGAATCAATAGTTTCAGAGAGGTAAGGCTTATACGAAGGGGGAAAAAAAACACCCAAACTCTAAATATGTGATATCACAAATTTAATTAAAAAAACAAAAAGGGGTCAGGACAAGACATCAAACAAAAGGCTCAATCAACAAATAAGTGGGAAGCTGTCTCTTCTCATTATCCTTTAGGGAAAAAAATGCTTCAAAAGTTAGGAACTATGGTACTGACAGAAGTAAGGAACTTTCTACTGACCAAGCAATTTCTATTTTGCGCAGGAAACCAAGTACAGAATCACTTATAAAAACAGTGAAGTTAGAAATGGAATTTCCTCTGGCTAAAGGAATAGTGTTTCTGGACGTCCTATCCTCTGGTACTAATGAACTGAGGATTTTACTAGACAGAAATGAGCTAGGTACTCAGAATCTAAACGTTCCTAGAGAACCCTCCCACCTCAAGCTCTGCAAAACAAGGAAACAAAAGCAGGCTTCTGATTTAGAGGGTGCACAACAGTAACAGCAGCTAAATTTGATTTTCTCTGCATTAGGTTGGTGCTGAGCATGCGTTTCATGTTTCCCCTTATCGAATCCCACAATCCTCTGAGGGAGGTATTATTCTCTTTTTACAGATGAAGTAACTGAGGCACAGACATTAATTTGTCCAGTGTAGTAAAATGGAAAGTTACTAAGGACCATGATTGAGCTTCCATTTTAAAAGGGTTACCCTAATTGCTCTGTTTAGTCTGCAGAGGATCAAGGACAGAGTGTGGAACAACAGCAGTAATCTAGACAGGACAGGGAGGTGGTGGTGGAGGTGGTGCAAAGCAGTACCTTTGTGGATTCCCCCCCCCCCACCAATTATATCTAGATTTCCTAATAGACTAGATGTGGAATGTGAAAGAGCAGAGGGGAGTCAAGGATGACTCCAAAGTTTTTGGCTTAAGCAATTACCAACTGGAAAATATGAACTTGCCATCAACTAATCAGGAAAGGTTCTGGGATATAACAGATTTTCAGGGATTCAATTTGGAAATGTTAAACTTGAGATGTCTACTGGACAATACATGAAAATGTCATGTAGTCAGAAATAAAAATCTAGGATTCATGGAAGAGGTCTGGGCTGGGAAATATAAATTTGAGAATCATCAACTTATAGATGGTATTTAAAACTTGATACCTGATGAGATGACCTAGGTGCTCAGGGTAGAGAGGGGGAACACAGGACTTAAGACTGAGACATGCAGGTATTCCAACATTAAGAGGGCGGGAAGAAGAGGAAGAACCGGCAAAGAAGACTGAGAACAGGCCACCAATGACAGAGAAGGAAAATTTTTAAAAGTGGTATCTAGAAGTCAAGTGACTCTGACTAATGTCAGATTCAAATTTGTGGAAGTGAAGTGAAGTCGCTCAGTTCTGTCTGACTCTTTGTGACCCCGTGGACTGTAGCCTGCCAGGCTCCTCTGTCCATGGGATTCTCCAGGCAAGAATACTGGAGTGGGTTGCCATTTCCTTCTCCAGGGGATCTTCCCAACCCAGGGATCAAACCCAGGTCTCCCGCATTGCAGGCAGACGCTTTATCCTGAGCCACTGGAGTGAGGTATAATTAACTCCATTATAAGCAAAGCCTTCAGTTGTAAATTACCTAGAATACAGAGCTAGACAAGGGAAGAGAATTTATCTAAGCTGTCTGTGAAGCTTCAAAAACCCAAGAAAGAAGAGTTCTGAATACTGACTGAAGCAAGCA